TGTCCTGCAACACAAGAGAAGGTTGAGTAGTCAGTTTCTGGCGAACTTCATCAAAAGTAGCATGACTACTCGAGAACCAACCGGCCCACCATTGAGAAAAACCCACAGTAGATAAATAATTCGAATCGAAAGCATAGGGGTAAAAGTGCATCGGGATTTTAGGTAAAAGCTTGAGAAGCTCCCGATTAAGTGAAGATTCAGTTAATTTGGACTTGGGGGATGTATCGAGGGGGAAGAAAGGTAGGGATTGACTTAGACCAAACTGCCTCGAAAGAAACTGCGGGTAATAAGTAATAAACTTGAAATCCTTAGGCTGAAAACCCGATAATAATATATCATGGGTCAAATAACTACTCCATATGTCGACCAGCTCCAATTGTAACCCGGGAGACGAAGCTGGGAATTTTGACTTAAACCAAACTGGTCCCCTAAGTTGACCATTTATTTGTCCAAGATTTACTGTAAACGGGGCCAAGGTCGAATCAAAGGAGGATCTAGTCAACAAAAAGTGGAGGTATTTACAATAGGTAGCCTCATCGGTCTTTTGGCGAGGATGGCGGGAGGATAATCGGGCCCCTTCTATATTTATACTTGGGGGAACAAGTAGAAATACGAGGAAGGATACTTTCAAATATCGAAATTAACCATAATTGAATAAACCAAACAGGGCCGAAAAATTCCCCGATGCCTTAGGGGTACTCAAAATATCGACAGCTTCGTCGAAAGCAGTATATACATGTGCTAATAAAGTTTTGGCTAAACAAAGTCTAGGGTGGCCTAGGTGAAGGAGATATGCAAGATTGAACAAATGGGGGAAATTTGGATTGAACGGGGGCAAAAAACATGAGTACATAACCAATACACCAAAAATGCTACGTGTTCTTCGTCGATAATCGCTATCGAGGGGTCATCGACAAAGTGTTTCTCGAGAAAATGCCCATAGGCCTTCGACTCCCAATCAATTTTCGACCTCAATGAATTATCCGAGGGATATGCACCCGAAAATACCTCTCCCCTATGGGTTTCAACCCGATAATAGCAGCTATCTCGAAAAGGGTGGGCGACACAGTGGCCACAAGGCAACTCCAAAACATGTAAGTCTTGATTCCATAAATGCACTGCAGATAAGAACATCGCCATGTCCAAATGAGACAGGTCACATCGGGACAGGTGCAAAAAATCGAAAATACCAGTACTCCTCCAGTGATCCCCAAACTTAGCCTTGACCCTATCAAACCATCGAATATACAGAGGTTTTTTGGAAGGAGGGCCCGTTCTATACACTTTAGAAGTAAGATTCAGAAAATCAACCCTAACTTCAGGTTGATGAACCAAAGCCGGACTAGTCGAGAGGTTAAGAGGAGTAAAAATGTCATCGATAGGACTGAGTGGACCCCCAAAAGCAAAATTAACCCCATCAACAGTGTAAGGGATTAGTACCTGCGTTTCAGCAATTTTTCTGGAAGCCTCCTCCATCAAAGGGACTGGAGCGAACTTCTGGTTGTTAATTTCCAAGCAGGTTAGAAGGCATCGAGGAAAGAGGTGGAACGGAAAAGTCAGAAGACTTGGAGGAAGTGGCCATTTCAAGTAGTGAGTAGGATGAAGAAAAGCAACGGAAAAGATGAAGGTATAGAGATGAAAGCAAGAGCTCAAGGAAGACGATGAAAGTACGAGACTTAGGGTAAAAGTTCGCATAAAAACCAGAACAAAGACCAAGAGAAAGGTTAAAAGAGAAAATCTCCTAGGGAGCTGGAACGACAGATACGAAAAGTAATGAATATAATGTACTGTAAAAGCAACAGACTCGATATGATAGCGACGTAAAACGGAAAGGGAAACCTAAAACCCTTTTAACCCTAGAACCCCGTAAACCCTAAACCCTAAAGTTCTATGGGCCTCCGAACACTTAGGCGGGAAATGTTGAAAGAATATAAATAAACTATTCATATTCTTCCAAGGGGGCATTTTGTTAGTGTGGAATCGAGAAGCCTCGATCGAGAAATGAATCGAAAGGGAACTTTCCTGATGTCCGATTATAAAGAACGTGACACATAAAATCGAAAGGTAAAATCGGAAGAGAAGGTGTAATAGTCGAAAGCTTAACATGGAGTTAAAGTTAAAATAAATCGATACCAAGGATGCAAAGTTCTCGATTAAATCAAAGGGAAGGCTCGTTTTCGTAGATATCATAACCTCGGTTAAACCTTGAAGGAAAATAGTCAAAACGCACGCATGGAAAGCGGTTTCTAAGTTATGGAAGAGCCAAAAATCATGGGAACGTGGGGAAACAATAGAAGAAAAATCGCCATACGCACGTAGAACGTGGTAACAGTCGTGTTAACTGTTCTTGGAAGGCTTGAAAGATGCCCTATAAATAGAGCAAAGAAGGAAGGAACGGGGGGGAAATTGGCAGAGAACAGAATCAGTAGTGAAAAGTCTACCGGAGAAACGACGAACACCATGAAGTTTCTGGCAATCTGGATTTCCTTGCTCACTGAGTACATTTATCGCTTTCTATATTTTCCTTGGTAATTTACTTTCGAGCCATTTCAATTCAGCAATTTCATATTCTTGTAGATTACATTCAATGTCATTTCGATTTCCTATTATTTACTGATTATGCAATCTTAATGGGTTTTAGCAATTTACATTTTCCGCACATTTCGATTTCCTGTTATTTACTTTCTGTGCAATTTTAATGGGTTTTAGCAATTTACATTTTCCGCACATTTCGATTTCCTGTTATTTACTTTCTGTGCAATTTTAATGGGTTTTAGCAATTTACATTTTCCGCACATTTCGATTTCCTGTTATTTACTTTCTGTGCAATTTTAATGGGTTTTAGCAATTTACATTTTCCGCACATTTCGATTTCCTGTTATTTACTTTCTGTGCAATTTTAATGGGTTTTAGCAATTTACATTTCCCGCACATTTCGATTTCCTGTCCTTTATTTATCTCGCAAACTTAATTTCTTGCAAATTCGGGTTTTCGCACTTTCTTGCAATTTAATATTCTCTTTGCTCGATTCGATACTTTACTGTGTTGTTTGAGTCAAGCATTTTAGACATAAAATACCAAAAACCACATTTTCGATATCCTGTAGTTTTCAATTCTCATACGCGTTTTCGATTGAAAATCAAATTGCTAGCCTAAGTAAAAAGAACTTACGTGGTAGAATTTTGATTAGGACCAAAACACCCTTAGAATCGAAATCGATCGAAATTCCACCGAAACAATTTGATTGTTTTCTTCATGCACTCCTTAATTTACTGTTTTAAACAAAATATAAATCAATTCATTTTTTATGAAGGTAAAATAAAGAAATCTTAGGATTTATTTTGTCATTTTTTAAATAATATCAGAAATTATTTTATGATTATTCATTGAAATTCTAAAATAATTTTACATTTATTATCAGTTACAAAAATTGTATTTACGGTATCTCTATACTTAATGATTCATGATTATATTGTTAAATTGTTTTATACTTTCATTATCTAACTTACTCTCTATAATATTTTTATATTTTGGATATATCGAGAACCACTTTAAAATATCATAACAAAAAATCAATTAAACTTTTCTCACACGAACAACATAATAAAACCAATTTACTGAATCAAATTTCAAGAATTAAAAATAAACTCAATTACATTCTCAATATTTTAGCATAAAAATACAATAATACCTTGCTTTTTTTTTCAACATTAAATTATATATAAAAATAATTTAACTCATTTTTTTTTAATATTTTTTTTTTGGATAGACGTTCAATAAAAAATTACCATATTTTGCGTCATCTTTCTTCACAAAATTATGTGATATGATGAATAATTGTAAATGATTGCGTATAATAAAACATTTTTACATTATTTAGAAATTTAACTGTAAAAGGAAATAATTTGTTCTTTTTTATTTTCAATGATTTTGGAGATAGATGAACGTTTCATTAGTTCTTCTTAATTTCAATATTTTCTTTTCCAAATCCCGACTACACATGTTTAATTTTTTATATATACTACCTTTTTTTTACAATTATTTAACAATAACTTGTTGTATATAGTAAATTTATTAATTTTACTAATCCTATCTTAAAACTTAAACTAACTTTTATTAATTAATTACATAAAACTATTTTAGTAATACATAAAATTAAACTTAAAACATCTTTTCAGCTGAAGTTTTTTCATTTTAAAAACTATAACTATTACAATTAATAATATGTTTTCTCATCACGATTTCTAATTAATTAAATTTGTACACAAGTTAATGAACTAATTATCTTTTTCAAAAACTAACTAATTGCTATTTTTTTTAAAGAATTAACTAATGGTATAAAATAATATTAATAATCCAAATAAATTAAACCTAAAAAAAAAAAGTTGTTGAGAAGACATTGTGTAATAGTCCATGACATAACCTCACATGATTTGTAAATTCAAATTTGGTAACCATCCATCTAATTTAGGCGCCATATATATAAAACCCAAACTAACAATTTTCTTTATTCTTCTCTTCTCTTTCTTTCTGCAATTCCTTCTCTCACCAACCAAATCTTCGCCATTTTCTTCCTCCCCATCCTCCCTTCAATTATTGGGATCCCCCACCATCACTGAATCAATGCAACAACAACTAACAACCAATAGGAAATTCTAAACTCTAATTAACTGACATAAATTCCGAACTTTCTCTCTCGTTTTCCGGGAAAATCGATCAACCCGCGAATTTTCCCAGGAACGAGAGAGGAGGTGAGGGATTCCACACCGCATTTTTCAGTTTCCATTTTTTCAAATTTCAATTTCAATTTCTCCTTCGTTTGTTGATCACTGTTTCGTAGCTTCTGAGTCAGACGAGGGAGACCCATTTTGGCGAATCAGTGAAAGATCAAAACTTGCTTCTGAATCTGAATTAAGTGTGAACATGGTGCCCGTGCATTGATCACGGGTCATTAGGTTCTGGATAGAGAAAACTAAGAGAGAAAGAGAGAGAAAGGTGTCATGGAAGAAGAGTTCGAGCAGATCGAGGTTGAATACGCGCCTCTTTGCGAGGGTCACGAGATTGACATTGAGTACGAGTTCGACGCGCCTCAGTTCTTCGTTTTCACGCACGAAGAGACGGTTTGGGAAGCTTCTGAAGCAGAGCAATGGTTTGAATTTGCCCCGAGTTATCCACCTTCACGTAAGGCTTTCAGGAAAATCAAACAACATTGTTATGTTTTGTCGTGATTGGAGAAATGTGTTAAGTTTCTTTTTTCTTCTGCCTGAAGTTGATGAATTATTGCATGCGTTTAATTGTCATCTTAATCATTCATGATATAACTGATTATGCATGGCGATATGTGATTGATCGTTGCATTAATATTGAATATTTCTAAAATTGAACAAAAGGGTTTGATTTTTTCTTTTGGATGTATTCTGTGTAGCGTTTCTCTTGAAGATGAGGTGGAGGAACTGTAGTCCTGGCACGGAGAAAGAACAAGTTTCAAATGTTGAAGACGATAATAGCACAGGTATATTTTCATAGGGTCTACGTTGGTGTTAAATTGATGGCACAATGTTGAGATGCTTACTGTTTTGTGCCTTGTGATTCAGGGATTGAATGCTGCTCAAAATGATTATTTTAAGATTTTGGATTTCGAATATATCGTTTTACCTTGTTTTACAGTCCTTACCATCTTTCTAGACATTAGAACTACATGTTGATGGGTTTTTTTGGTTAGAATGACCCCTTTTCATGGTAGCTTGTGATTGTTCAATTTGCCAAATTTAGCTGTATGTTTGAAATTTGGGAAGAAATTCAGATGACTCTCTCTATATTTTGAATCTGGACTATAGTATTCTATGTGGAATGAGCTTTGTTGGCCATTCTTTTTGCTGTAGTTTTATTGGAATTCTTTTTAACTTTTCATGTATTATTTGTTTAGTTTTGAAAATTACTTACATGTTCATTTTCTATCAAGATTCGTTAAATGGTAAGACAAAGCCTCTCGGCAAGTCAAGTTCATGTAAAGGTAAAGATTTCTCTTTTATGAAACCAACAGCAAGTCATTTGGCCAAGCAGAAGAACCCTTCAGAAGTTCAGAACCCGGAGTCCTTAAGGTGTCTGTTATTTCTCACCTCCTAATTTTCTTGCCGATGATGAATAGTGTCATATTTCGTGTCCTATTAAGTATTTCACAATTTCTTTTGAAGTTGAACTCCTTCTTTGCATAATGAAAATATAAAGATTTTTTATATACGTGAATAGAAACCACTTTTGTATGTGACTTTTAAATTAATTATGACAAAATTTGATATTCTTATAATATATGACAACTTATGATTGGATGACACCATAAAAAAAATTTACATTGTTATGAATTCTCTAATCCATTTTTTTTGTTTCCATAAAACAAAATTGACAATGGTTTCTTCACTCTGTCTCTACATAAGATCCTATGAGTAATACTAATGTCATGCTTTGGCATTTTATCATATCAATATGAATAATATAATTATGTTCTTTTTTGCTTTGATTTTGAATGTGCTTTTTCTTATTACTTTCATTTGTTCTTCATATTTTTGTCATCTAATCTCATCAGGTTTCAGAGACAGACTTCTTCTTCCACAACAGATTGTCCATTAACCAAAAGGCAAAAGCTCGAAGCTGGTTACTTGCGCAAGGTATGCTGAAGTTTATAAACTTTCGTTCTTTTTTGGAATCTTAGCTTTAGCTTAATACATTTTTGCTCATGTCTTGTTATTTATGACAGATTGCTCGTTTGAAGCATCACATTCCCTTTACACATAAGAAGGCTAAGGAGGTAATTAACCATCTTTGTCTACAATATGATCCATCATTTGTTTGCCATGGAGCTTCAATTTTGTTGTTTGAGATATCTCTATTTTCATACAAGAATAAAGTTGGTGCATGTCTATGCCTCATTTCGAAATACAATTTCTTCTTAACAACAATTCATACAACAAAGAGTCATAAAAAATATAAGAGTAAATGATAAAATGACAATACCCGAAGAGAGAAGTAAAAAACATTACATGAATAGTATAACTCATTTTGAATTGTGATGCAGGTTGATGGCACTGATGTCCATTCAGCATCTAAATCAAACGTTACCATTGCTAAAGAACCTAATTTGGTGACAGCCCTCAGGGCACAGAGACACAAGTATATAAACTACTGCTCAAGTTATAGTAGACATCATGGTTTTGTTACTTTTTAGTAATATCCAACACGATAAATTGTTGTCTGTTGTGCATTTTAATAGGTCTAAAACCAATGCTGCATCAGGTGGACCTACACAATCAAGCTCTCAGGAGCTTAAAGCAAAACCCTCAAATAAAAAAGTAAGTGCTTTTTTCAGTCTGTACTTTGGGAAGAAATTAATTAGCACTCAATCATACACAATGTAAATGCATACTTTTTGTAATATAATAATTAACTTTTTGGATGTGGCAGATTTTGGAGGGTCCGGCACCAATCTTTTCTAAGATGAAGGCACCACGACCAACAGAATGTCAAGTAATAAATAACTTTTTTTTGTCACATTGTATCTTTTCTGGTGCATCAAATTTTGGTGGAATGTAGTAAGTTAGTGCGTATTATGTTTTTTCATTTTGCTTTTCAGGTGTTCCAATTAAGAACATCACAGAGGGCAAAGCAAAACACATCAAATAATGTTAGTAACTTTAATTTGCGTCAGTTGTTGTTGTTATTGAATATTATGAATTATTTGCTTATGTTTCTGTTTGATTGAAGTAAAATTATTTAGTTTTGTATTTTCAAGCAGCCATATTCTGATAAGATATTTTTTGACACATTCTTTTTAACACATTTTGTCATCTTAGTTGAACATAATTGTGAATTAAACTTTTTTGTGAATTTCACATTTTTGTACAATGAACCTCTTTTGTAATTTAAATAAATTTTAATTATAATAAATATATTAAAAAGTATGTTATTAGTGCTTCTGTTAATTCATAACAGCTGTTTATATGGTTTTTTCACTATAGGTGCGAAGTAGTCTGAACAGCGATTCTACCTCAAATAGTGAAACAAGGGGTATCCGAAGGTGTGAACATTGGAGATTTAGGTTTTGCTTATTTTTATTTTTTAAAAATGTGGCTCTGTAGCATTTTTTTTCCAGAACCTAAAGAAAAATATTTATTCGAGAAAAAAATTTTGCCATTCGCTTTCATGAATATTTTCTTTATTTTAAAAAAATTAACAAAATCATTATAATCCTTTCAACATTTTTAATTAATATTTGTTATTTATTGCTATACTAAACTCAGAAGGAATCTTATTCTATTTTAAATCATTCAACATCACTTTTAAACAACCGACACTACATCTTTACAAATTTTGCTTGATTAGATCTTATAAAAATTAAAACTTTTATTTTATTTATGTTTCAATTTTTTCAAATTAAAAAAAGTTATAGTTTTTTTTATAAGGAAACTAATTATGTTTTGTTAAATATCAAATACAAATATAATGATACCACTAATAACGTGTTTCACTTTTGATTTTTTAATTAATCCAAAGACTATGATTAATAAAATGGTGTCATATGTATATATTTTTTTCTTTTATTTAATTACAAGGGGCATAGTTGAAAATGATTGTATGCGTGTATCTTTTGAGTGCATATAATAAGCAATTTTATTTTTTCTTTGATGTGTTTGGAATGTTGTCTTCCCCACAGGACAAACTCTGGTACTGTTGCCTCAAGCCAAGAGAAATGTAAAACAAGTAACAAACTTCGAGGTAGCCGTGATAATAAGGTAAGTAAATTCTCCATCCAATTTTGAATATAATTAGACAATTTTACATTAATTAAATATAATTAATGTTATTTAATTAAAATAATTAATTAAGCTTTATTTATATTTTAGATTTTTTCTTTGAATCCTAGGAGAGTACTGACTAATGCAATGATTATACTATGTTTGTCGTGTTTGCACAAGCAGTTTTCAAGTAAAAGTGAAAGAGGTGTCTTCCAAACTATCAAAGTATATCCATTGGTGGTAATCAATTTTGAGCATGTTTTCTTTTCTTAATTTACCATGTTTATGTATTGTTCCCCATTGTAATTCCATTGTTTTATTCATAGGAGCCAAACGACAAGGAATCTCTAAATGAACCACCCACGGAACTATTTAGCAAGGTACTAAATGGTGTTCATGTTCGTATGATGTGTCCTAATTTATCAACTAATTAGTTCTAACGTTGTCATGTAATGCATAATTTAATGGTTATAGTGATGCAATGTTTGCATGGATACACAATTAGTAGTTTCTATTTTAGAACCTATTTTGGTTTTTGTAATCTTGGGGCCTAATCAATTTGCAGCTATCCCTGGCTTCTGAAGTGAAACAAACTGCAAAATCATCATCAAAGGAGCAACCAATGTCTAAGGTTCATCTCTCTTAGCATTCTTATGAGACAAACTAAGATTGTTTGAGTATAGCATCCCTACTAAGCATGTATATTCCTATTATTCTATTGAAGGGCTCAAAGGAGAATAGACCTGGATCCTTTCAGTGGAATGAGGTATGTTAATGCAGATTCAATCAAAGCTTTTGTTGTCCATCAAACACAGTTATCGATGTTTGACATTTGACAATATGAAAATCTGTACATTGAGAGCAAATTTGGAAACTTTTTTCCAAACATGTCAACTGATTTGGTGAACAAAATAATGTGTTTATAAAATAAGTTAGATGATTTAGACAAAAATAACTGTTTACCACGACAAAAAACTGATTTTGTATTGTAATAGATTATAACAATAATACGTTATACATGTAATGAATTATTGAAGTGATCTAATTTTCATAATTTAAACTCTAGTCACTTCTCAGTAAGTCTTGAGGTTGATTTTACCCATATGCAAGTCTTATTTTTGACTCAACATTTAACATCTAGAAAATGAAATTGTTGAAAGAAGGAATGCAGAGATCATGTGGGAAGCAATATCAACGTATGAATAAAATGGGGTTCTTTATCTCAAAGCAGCCCTGTATGCTGGCAAGTAGAATCAATTCCAAACATAATTTGCTTTGAGATTGTTTATGTTTATAATCATCGCATCATTCTGGTTACTGACAACTACAGTACTAAAGTTACACCAAACTCTTCTTTTTGACTCAGGAAATATAACATTAATAGAAAAATAGAGTGGTGTTTCAGATTGGTGCTCCTTAGTCTAGAGCATTTGCTAAAATTCCGCAAAATGCTACTCTAAATGATTTGAAGTTCATCTGTATGATACATTGGAAGCCAACCAAAGGGCCCCTTCTATGCTAATCTGTGGAAACAAAGGATTCTCGCTAAAACAGGGGAGGAAGTTCCAAGACAAAACCTGATGGATGTATGTATGTGTTGTACAACAAAGCATTGGACTTTGGAGTTTCAAAGAAACAAAATGAAATGTGGTACAGGTTGAGGCATGAAAATAGTAAAATACTATACTTGTAAATTGTTGCATGTTTCCACTAAAGTTTACCAGGTTTTTGTAAGTTCATAGCATTTGAGATTTTTTCATATTCATTTTCTTTGACAAGCTTCCAACAGTAGGCCCTTTGGCTCACCCTTCCAGTGTACTAACTGTCTTCAATCATTGTGAATTTTAATTAAAAAAAATGTAATATTTTAAATTAAAATGCAACTGTTATGGCACTATAATCTGTTATGTTTAACATTGTCCAAAATTAAAACACAACTTGGAATATTACAACAAATATTTAATTTGTAGAATGTTTGGTTACACATAAATTTTAATTTTTTCGATTAACAGTTATAAGCTAATACATATCCATCTATAATGTAACTATCCTCAGAGGATTCAAAGTTGCCGTAGTAGTACCGAAGTTAGAAATTTCTTTTATTGCTGAATAGAGTAAGTGCTTCAAATTGGTTACAGATGATTATATGAATAAACTTGTCCTTAAACACTTTTAACTAAAAGAAGAGACTTTTCTATGGATTGGTTTTCTTTACAAATATATTTATAGAAATTTATTTTTGAAACAAACCTCATTTCTTTAATTTCTGAGACTTGATTGGAGTACAGTGAGCTGAACTTATGTTTAGGCTGGATATATTGAATACTCTTGTCTTTAGCTTTAAATTTTTTGAAAAGTCGATGATACCCCAATCTAAGGCAAGAAAAATTTAGTCTCCCGATATTTACAAAAGATCTAAATTTACCTTACCTGTACTCACTATCTTGCACATACATAGGAATAAACATTAGCATGATGAGATTTGCAATAATATAGTTAAAGTATTGCTTGACATGCTTCTCTTGATGTATCTCTGCAGGAAAGGACCATTTTCCTGTGACTACTACCGCTAAAGAGCAATACTTGCATAAAATACAGTGGAAGCTATCTATAAGCCCTATTACTTTTACTCTTAATGTAAATGGTCTCAAAAAGTTTAGCAAAATAATGATTTCAGGGAAAATGATTATATAATGTCTAGAATGATTGGAGTTCTATCCCCATCCTCTTCATCTCAACCTGTCTTCGATATGACTCATGGACACGTAGTATGAAGTGCCTAGAGGCTGTTATTTGATACAACATTCTCAAAGCGAACAAACCATTGATCATTATTGTACTTCTGAGATTGTAACCTATTCATTTCTGGGGGATGAAGGTTGTTTCCCTTTTGAATCACAAATTGTGCATAATCGATCGTCTTTGAAGGGGGGGCAAAGATGTTGCTGGGAGGTGCTGGGAGTAGTGATGCCAAAACCCTGGCAACCTCATGCATGGTTTGCCTCTCAAAAGGGTTCCTTTTCGTGCAAAGAAGAGCAAGCTGAAAGGTCTTCTTCACATGGGTCAGATCCATACAGGTAATAGACACCTCAGGATCTACAGTCTCCATTATAGTGTTGTTATCTGCCTTGGATAATATCTGCAAGCCATGTCATACACATTATTGCCGGCTTCAACAGGAAAAACTTCATATCTCAATCACATAAGAGGACTCATGTTTGGTTAAGGTTTGGAAGAAATAATCAATTTATTTTTACCTACTTCCCGTGTGAGCTTTTGAAAACTAAGCGATTACTACTTTATATTTAAGTTCTACAAAAGATGCACTAAGAGTTGCTGAAAACAAGATTAACACTCATCTATACTTGACATTTATTGTTCATTTGTGAACATACCAAATGCAGTAAACAAAACTAACAAACAAACCTAATCGTCATTGCTCAGATTCTAGGTGTATACAGATGATAATCATATAATATGATTAACCAAAATCTGAATACAACAAATCCTTGTCTGAGTAGAAGAGGTCGGGTACAAACATTACATGACACTATTCTGCTGGATTAAAGATCGAATCATTAGAAAAAAATGTAGAAAATACTTACCAAGTGATGCAAGTTGGAATCATTGTCCACTGCTTTCTTCCCTGTTAGTAGCTCGAGTAGAACAATGCCAAAGCTATACACATCGGATTTTTCATTCAACCTAGATGTCCGGGCATACTCGGGGTCAATATAGCCTATTGTTCCAAGCACAGACGTTGATGCATGAGTTCTTGTAGTTGACAAACATTTGGCAATGCCAAAATCAGACAGGCGAGCTTCAAAGTTCTCATCTATCAAGATATTTGAGGACTTAATATCCCTGTGAATGATTCTAGGACTGCAATCATGATGGAGGTAAGCAAGTCCTTCAGCAGCACCCACAGCAATCCTCAAGCGTGCTTCCCAATCAAGTTTTACCTTTTTCAAGGGACCTGTTAGAAAAGAAGGTTAAGCCATAAAAACAATCTAAAGCTACCTTTATACTGATTTGCTTTACAAGTAAGATTCGAGTGTAAGTAAATATACCATGAAGAAGATCCCACAGAGAGCCATTCTCCATATAGTCATAGAAAAGAAGATTTCCATTAGGAGTTAGAGCATAACCATGCAAAGAGACAAGATTCCTATGTCTGATGCTGCCAATAGTTTCAAGTTCTGTCTCAAACTCCCTTGAGTTGTGTTGATGCTGGTTGTGTAGTCGTTTAATTGCAATTGGCCGGGAATTCTTCAAAACACACTTGTACACGGTACTTGAGGCACCATACCCTACAATATACTTCTCATTGAGATTCTCAGTAACTTTCATAATATCATCAAAGGTGTGGATGGCCAGGCCCATATGAAGAATTACAAGCTTGGGTGGCCCTGGAGAGAAGAAAAAGCGAAAAACAAATGATAATTTGGCTCACATAACACTACTAAATATTATACGTAAGCAGTTCTTATGTTAAACAAACCTTGCCCAGTTCCACTGGATCCTTTAACCAATTGCATTGATTGGCTTGATCTATAGATAGCAAGAGTTACCATTGCCAATAATATGATGGTACCAACTATGAGACAAACAACTGCAGCCCTTGAAAAAACCACTGAACAAAGAAGTGCAAATAAGGTCCATTACGAACATCGTATTCCAATACTTTTTACCCCTCCAAAACAAACCAATACTACATATAAATATAATCATCATCGATAAAATTGCAAATATCAAGTCATTTCAGATGGATGTCACACACCTCTCGATTTTGGCATGTAAGGATCACATATCGATCCTAGCCAATTACCGCATAATAATGGATTTCCAACGAAGCTGCAACATATCACGTTAAAAGTCATTGATAAATGAATGAAGAAACCAAGAAAATCCTACAGTTTCCAATAATACCTCTCAGCAGAAAACCGTGAGAAGTTCTTCATGAGAGGAATGACCCCTGATAAATTATTATACGAGACATTCCTAACACATAAAATCAAGCATTTAGACGAGACACACAAATCTGAAGAAAATGATCAGAAATTAAACAATGGATAACTGTTAGGAATACACACAGGAAGTTCAGACTTAAGCAATTTGTAAGCTGATCTGGAATCTTCCCGCGCAAATCATTGTTGTTTAAAATCCTATCAGCGAAATGAATAAAATCATGAACGTGTTATTCTTAATGAGTAGTTTTAAAAAATTCACAAGGAAATACATTATTGGTTAACGTACAGAGACACAAGATTCTGCAGCTGACCGATTTCTGGAGGGATACTTCCCAACAGATAGTTGAATGACATATCGCTGGAGGAAAAAACAAATTATTATGGATTCTTAAAACCACATGAACAGATAAAATAATAGGACTCAAAATAAACTTTAACCTTTAAAAAGAGTAACAAAACTCACATCATTTGTATGCTTCTAAGATTTCCAAATTCAGCAGGTAAGGGACCATGAAGACTATTATGGCTCAAGTTCCTAAATACATCGTGAAAATATCACAACTACATTAACAAGTAAAGCCCAGGTAGATCAAATTGTTTAGTAGCAGCTTTTTCTTACAAAGTCAGAAGATGCTCAAGATAACCAACAGACCCTGGAACATGCCCTGAAAAATTATTGCTAGATAGATCCCTGAAACATAAAAATAAAAAATTCAGCATATATAGCAATTCTGTCAAGTTAGATATAGTTTCATGGAACTTACAACGTATCAAGATTTATTATATGGCCCAATTCAACAGGTATAGCCCCTTTGAAGTTGTTTGCAGAAAGATTTCTGGCAATCCAACAAAACTTTCTCATCACATTAATAAATTGGGAAGCAATCTACTACAAAAGAATGAAACAAGTCTAAACACAGTTTGGTGAAACATACAAGTAAGTCAAGCTCTCAAGGCTGCTGAATCTCAAAGGAATTGAACCACTTAAATGATTTCCATGCACGTTACTGCAAAAGTAAACAAATTTCCAAGCTAAGGTAAATGATATAAAAAGAATGTTCAATAACATGCCACAAAATTTCAAACTAGAGTTCAAAATTCTTACAACTTATTCAAGGCACTACAGGAGCTAATGTTTAGTGGAATAGATCCTTCAAGATGATTATTGGCAAGATTCCTGGATGGCAGCAATTGATGCAAATTAACACACCACCAAACTGAGAAATGAAGTGACAATGATACAGAACGATCGAAACTCACAATTCAAACAAATGCTCAAGCTTCCCCAGTTCATCGGGAATTTGACCAACTAGTTGATTGTCATTCAATTGCCTGTAAAAACAAATCTTCTTAGCAACTTCATAGAGAAAGCAGGACATAAGTGGACACTAGCAGATCAACTCACAGGTAGCTTAGTCTTGACATATTGCCAAGTTCTGGTGGTATTGGTCCGGTAATCATGTTTCCATGAAGGTACCTAATGACAGAAGGAAAAAACTGAGACAAATCATGATTAACATACGTCATTACATTGTGTGGGATTATACTTACAGCTTGCCAGTAAAAGACAAATTGCCTAGTATGGGAGGGATGGGTCCTATCAACTCATTCTCACTCAAATCCCTGCCACAATGTGATAGTACAAATTATAAATGATCATAAGTGAACCAAAATTATTTTCAGAAAAACAACTGATGTTCATGATTATTATACTTACAAAATGGCAAGGGCTTGCATTAAACCAATGACTTCAGGAATCTTACCGGTTAGTCTATTTCCTTGAAGTGACCTGCAAAGAAAAGTCAACTGTTATTGCATACTGTACAATTCAAGGTCACAAGAAGACAAACAAATCTAACAGGAAGTGATATAAGATATCAAGAAGATATCTGATATGCCAATAAAACATTAGTAACAGGTTCAAAGTCATGTACTTACAAAGTAGCTACTTGAAGAAATCCAATATTATAGGGAATCTCCCCAGAAATCTGGTTATATGACAGATCCCTGAAATTCATGCGAAAGGTTAAATTGCAATTTAGACAAAAACAAACTATAATGCAGCAGCTGAAAGCACCAGCAAGGTAACATACAAGATTTCAAAATTTGTGCAGTTTCCAATGCTGTCAGGTATGGTGCCAGTCAAATTATTGCCTCTCACATCACTGAGAAGTCAGGTAAATCAGAACAAAATAGCAAATTTAATAAACCAAAGACTAAAGGTTGTTTAGAATGAAAGAAAAAAGAGAAACTTCATTGAAAGGTTTCAAATACTCACAAATACCACAAACCAGTTAACTGACAGATATCAGACGACAGAGTTCCACTCAACATGTTCCCTCGCAACCCGCTATCTCATGATTATATATATGAACAGCACAAAACCAGGTAAGCTTTTGACCATAATTTATAAAATACAGTTGCATAGTATAGTAAGATATAACAAGAAACATGTAATAGCTGAAACTGTACATAATAATACAAACAAAAATGATAAAAGAACTCACAGGTACTGCAGGACTTCATTCCAGTAGAGTAGCCTTGGAATCTCACCAGTGAGTTTATTTCGTGCAAGATCGCTGCAAAACATAACCATACAATTGTTAGAACATTGTGAAAAGCTCCAGTCGCACAGCTTGCTATCACATGACTCACATTGAATCAATGTCTGTTTTTTATACAGCATTGATGACAAAATGAGAACTTACAGAGTCTTCAAGTTAGGAATTTGGGTTAAAGTTGAAGGGATAGGACCAGTCAACTGATTACTCTTTAAATTCCTGCATTCACCCGCTCAACTCAGGACTTGTAGTAGAATGAAAACTAATGTAAAACATTGAGTACAAATTCTAATTGCAATCTTACAGAAACACAAGCTGCTTTAATTTTGATATGGAGAAAGGTATATCACCATATAGCTGATTATCAGAAAAATCCCTTTCAAATAAAAAAAAAAGAGAAAAAAAATGTGATCAGCATTTACATCATGGGAAATTTCAATAGTGTGAAAAAACAGCGTACAAATAAGTAAACAGCAACAAGACCATAACATAGTTCATACAGATGAACAAGTGCAGCACAGTTCCCAATTTCATCTGGAATTTGACCAGTTAGTTTATTTCCCTGCAGGTCTCTGCCAATGCCAGAAGTGCATTATTCAGGTTAAATATAAAAATAAAAACTAAAAGAAGAAAGTGTGTGATTAAATTAACCAAAGGATATGATATGTACATGGATTGCAAGTTTCCTAAATCACCAATGGCCGGTGATATCTCCCCACCAAGATTCAAGCTTGACAAGTTTCTTTAGAAACAAGAAGAAGCATTTTGCAAGTTATTCAATCTTAGAAAAAAATGCAGTTAATCAGAGATTAATGCAATTGACAAGTTCAGACATAGAAGACTCACAAAGAAAGCACAGTAAGGCTGACATTGTCACACAAAACTCCGCTCCAGGAACAGAAGTCATCATCATTATGCAAATCATCCCAATCATGCAGAACATCTGCTACATTGCTGAATGAAGCTTTAATCTTCAACAATGCTTGTCCTTTATAAATTTTCACGTGCAAGAAAAGTCTAGCACATCAACATCTCTTGGATGTATAAAATGTAATTGTTATGTTTATAGAACATTTTAAAAATTGACACACCATATGACTGTAAATGCAACTATCTTTACTCTCACTTGCTTTCTATCTTCTTCATATACATGTATCTCAAAAATACACCCCAAAATCAAAAGGGACACCTTTTCGTTGCTCCACGTTGATTTTCACAAAATTATTTTTTACATATATACTATACTATAAAACTAACTTACCATCCATTCTTATGTAATTTCAAACATAATATTATGTCCACTCTTCTCATGTATAGATTTTAATTAGAACTTAGCTTAGAAATATTAATTGGCTATGAAAAAAGTATTACTAAAAATAGGGTTAAATTACTTTGTAGGTCTTTAAATAAAAAAAATTAATTGGATCTTAAACTAAAAAATTAGGTCCTAGTGCTGTGTATGACAGTTTTAAACTATAAAAATGATAATTTATTATTGTTTTAAAAATTCTAGGATTCAATTCAAAATATTTGCATGATCAGAGAACCAATTTAAAAAAGGGTTTCGGAAAAATCTTAAATATTCTCCAATATTCATATGCCAAATACGAAATTCAAACACAAAGTAATGAAAATAAGAAGAATAAAGATATAAACACTACTACAGTAAACATGTTAGAGGATACAAGTAGTTACCTTTATCTAAGCAAATGAAAAAAGAAAGTGAAAGAGAAAAAAGGGACTGGTAAATCAAATTATTATTCTCTACAAATTCAGGTTTTGGTGATTAACTATGAAGACTCCAATTTTTTATAGTTAAGTTACCGTTGAAGCTACAAAGCAAGATATATTAAGGGCAGAATGAATATTAATGCTAATATAAAAGTATCAGTCCTAGCCTAAAAGACAAAAATGAAACATTAATGCATAGTTGAACACTTGTTCGTTCTTGTTCACCTCAAACTAACGAAAAAAAAAAAAAAACTTGCCTTCGCTATATCAAAAAGAAAAAAAAATGCATTTGTTACATTTCAGAATTCAAAGAGCACTTGGAGGAATCACAAAGCACGAGTTTGGTTCTCAAAAAAAAAAAAAAAAAAAACACACACACATTACAGCAAAATATATTTCAACTTTAAAGAAACAAAACACAGTTCTACTGTGGTCAACAAAATCACACCAATGAAACAGAAGCTGGAAAGCACAGTAAAGTCACTAGTCACTTGACTCATTCCATTTCTCTCTGAGATACCCCATGAAAACAACCAAGCTTACATTTTTAACCCTGCAACATAACTAAACATGATCCTCGTACACACCCACATGCACAAACGCAAGAGAAATTCTTGTTTTCTCTCTAGGCCATGCAAAGGATACAAATGAACAAAACGGGGTGTCTCAAGTGAGAGTGCACACACCTTCATAACTGAGAGGAGAAGCAAAAGGAGAGAGTAAAAGCAGCACGAGCTCCATTGCCAGAAGAAGCAACAGCAAGTGCTTTCTCAGCTTGCCAACAAAAGCCAACACACCTTTCATTGGAAAGGAAGTAAGATAAGGAAGAAGAAAGAGGAAGATGGAAGAGATAGTAACGAGTAACTATGATGAAAGATGGGATAAGGGCATGTTTGGTTTTTGAGTGAGAAAGCCACAGGAGAGGAGAGAGTAGTAGAGTAGAGTGCAGGCGTTTGGCGTGAAGGGAAGGGAAAAACATAAATGGTGTTTTATGAAGAGAGAGAGTGAAGAAACATAAATGGTAGCCGTCATTCTAGCCTATCGGATTCTACACACAAAACAATAACATTATCAATACCAATGCTAATGCCAATGCTTTTATATTCAAGTGTAAGAATATAAATACTCTAATGAACTCAACAATATTCTTCAAAATTTGTTGTATTCTCTTTAAATATGAAGAGTGTTTATTGTTTAGAATTTTTTTAATAATAAAATACACCATTTTAATATGAATTTTAGTAAAAGTTACTAAAATAGTTTTAAATTGTTTATATAAATAATTATGATATTTTTTAAATATTCCTATTTGTGAAATTTCTTAAACTTTTTTTCTAAATTTGAAAATCTATAATAGAAAGTATTGAGTTGAGATTTTTGAATTTAATTATAATTTTAAATGGGAAGAATTTATGTATACCTATTTAATATACATAATGTATTTTATAAGAAACTAATATGAAAAGTAAATTAGCAATTTTATGTGAGAAAAAAAGGTTTTATGAAAATTAAATTAGTGTGAAAAAGGTATCAATATTAAATAGATATAAGTTGGTGAAGAGAAAAATATTATCATGTGACGAAGTAGACAAAAAGTGAGCATTTTTACTGTTTCTAGACAAAAGGTCTAAAAAAATAATTAAACATCATCATGCGATGAATTATTATAAACAAATCCAAAATGATTTCGTTATAATTAACACCAAAAGGTTTAGTATATACTTTAATGATGAGATTTTTTTTTCATAAAGGTTTGTACTTTTTCTATGAAGTTTTCTTAAGATTTTATTTTCTTTTATGAAACAGAATATTAGTAATTTTCACAAACACATGGAGCACGTTTTACGTACTTTTATATAAAAGTTAATAATTTTATTATGACACTTAAAAATGTTGTTTAATAATAAAAAAGTTTCATTACATCGTAAAAAGATAGAGAAAGTTGGTGGCGCGTGCTACGATTCTGACACCATTACAGATTCAGATAGATAATAAGTTGCCACTGAACAAAAAGTAACCAGTAAATAAATAAATATTTATAACTTAATATAATAAAATATGAAATTTTTTCATACAATTAAAATTGAATAATAATAATAATAATAATTATTATTATTAAAATTAAATCCGTCAAAATAGATGATTTGGTCTATTAGATTTATTCTATTAGATTTACTCCTATAAATCAAGTAGAAATAGTTAATGATTATTTAGTGTAATTTAGCTTTATATTAGACTAATAGACAAATAAATCAATGATTAAAATTTAAAAAAAATTATTAATATGTTTATATAAAAATAATTAATTAAAAAATATTTAAATAAAATAAAATAATTTATTTTTAAAATTTAGATTATATTAATAAATTAATTTTTATTAAAATATAATAAATTATAAAAAAATAAATTCGTTCAATTTTATAAGAATTAAAACTTTATTTTTTTATTATTATCATTTTTATTTTAATAATTTATTAATTTAAAATAATAATTAATCTTAATTATTAAATATTAAAATAAATAATTAATAAAAAGTTATTTTTATAATAAATAAATTCTTTATTTTATAATATATATGTATATAATCAAATAATATTATTTTTATTTAAAAAATAATTATTATTTTATAAAATAAATCTAACTATAAATTTATAAAATCTAACATAAATATATATCATAATTTAAACATATTTAATAAAAATAAATTTGATTTGATTTAACTTAAATATCTTTTCTAGATATTTTAATTCTTCATCAAATTAAATTTATTTTCACATTTTTAACTGAAGTTTATTAATGTTAATTTAAAAAAGTAATTGAAAATAGGGGAAAGAGGTTGCGCAATAAATGGGGTTAGGGACGTATAAAGCTGAGTCTTTGATGTGAAGTCGTTTTCCGTCTTCAATTATAAACTCAATGCTCCAGAATTGGCATTTTTTTGTACTTCTATCCAAATATATTCATTTATTTCTCTTCCTTCCACCACACAATTATTCTTTTCGTATTCTTTTGTTTCTCTTAACCTCCACACCCACTTTGCCTCCCAGCTTCTGTCTGCTCAATGACTTTCCCATATTTCAAAAGAGATGATCAATTTTTATAATTTATATTAATATTTATTATTTTTTACACTTATTTTTATTTATTATTTTTATAATTTTAATATTTTAATATTTTTAAATTTCATAATTATTAAATATATTTATTTATATATTTATAAATTTAACCTACAATTATTTTATATTTATTAATAATATATTATTTAAGTTATTGAAATTCAAAAACCATCTAAATCCTAATAATAATAATAATAATAATCAGATCTAATTTCGTGAACACAGATTCAAAACCTGCAAAAAAATTATTTTTCAGTTTGTTTAATTCATTACTTAACAAAAATTATTTATATTTTATAAACAAACAAGTAAAAAAACTATATAAATATATGTAATTTATTTATTGCTCCATCTAAGTGTCTTTTATTATTAAGGTGAATTTTTATATATTATTTACATGGTAGTATTATTAAGTTTAATCTAAATTAATCATGTAAAAAAACTATGAAACCATTGTTAATATAAAATTGTAAATTATTAGATTATAAATATATTTTATTTATAAATTATTCCATCTTTCTATTTCTATTCGTTGATATTTATGCGCTTAAATTCTTAACTCTTTCCTATTATATATTATATATTCGAATGCATGATAAAATTTGTAACAAAAATTAATCATATAAATAAAATAGACAAATATTTGGTGCTAATAGAATGGTATTGAAAAAATGAGCAACTGAATTTATTTTTTGGACTTGCATGGTTTTGTTGATGTGAAGAAGTAGAAAGTGTCATTTCATTCAAACACGCAGTGACAGAGTAAAGTACCAATTTTTTCCAACATTTTTTGGGAAATTATTATGGGGGATTAGATCACGTGAATGTGTTACCAGAGAGGGACGAGGTTAATAAATAAACATGACAAAAGCAATAACTATTTTTCCTTTTTATAAAGGAAGAGAGATCAAATAGATAGGTGTAAAAATCAATTAAATGAAAAGTTGATGAGTCAACTTGAGGGAAGAGGATATAAAGGTGACAAAATGGGATGTGGTTATAAAAGACAACATTTGCAATTTTCAAAAGAAATAAAAGAAAAGACAACAATGAGAATCACCGGGGATTCGGCCAATAACATCTCATTCCGCCGTCCGCGGCGCACGTCTGCCGGTGGTGCTTGGTAATGGAGGGCCCACTCCCCAAATACAGGAAAGAAAGAAAAGAAAGGATGACTTGGCATTCACATTCCTCCTGCGTTTTAACGTGAGTGATTTATTTACTTTACATAACTAAAATCTACATATAATAATTCAATAATTTTAAATATATAAGTTATTTTATAACTAAAATTCATAGTAAATGAATATACAAATATTATATTTATATTTCTGAGGAATATTTTATAGTGAAATATAAGATTATTTTAAACTGCTGATAATGTTTAACACATATCAAAACTAGGAATATATTACAATATTTGAAAGTTAAGAAAACTTCTTTATGAAATTTCTAAACAATACTTACTTTAAAAATAACTTCTAGAAATATTTTTATTAAAAAATATATATTTTAATTTATATATGCAAAATTTTTATTTTTTATTTTTTAATAAATAATTTAGACCAAGTCAGATAATTAATATTACAGTATAATTTAATCATTGTTTAAAAGTTTCAATTATATATAAAAACATATAATTGTCTAATATCAATTTTTATTTTAATAAAATATTTTATAACAAAATTAATTATATTAATAGAAACTTAATAAAATAATTAAAATTTTAAAAACTATCGACAATATTTTGATTATTTAAAATAAGATAATTTTAAATTTTACTTAAAAATAAGAATCTGACTTTGATATTTTTTATTAAGAATTTAAAATTTTAAATATCTATTCTTTTCATATTTCCTCTTTAATTCAATATCAATTAATATATTTTTATTCATCTTAACTTGCTTCAACATGGGCTAACTTAAATAAGTATGACATCGTCCATCTTAGTATGATTTATCTTAACCTAATTCAAATCAACCTAATACGTTTTAATTATATTTAAATCATCTTGACTTGACTGTCTTGATTTAGTCTATTTTATATTAACCTAACTTAACACATCTCAACCTAGTCTAACCATCCGACTTGATATATGGTAACTGGATTTAACTTAATTATCTAAGGTAAGTTTGACCTCAACTTGATTCATTTTAATTTGACTAGATTTATCTGAATTTAATCTTTTCCAACTTGAAATATTTTGTCTTGCTTTATCTTAATTTATCTAATCTTAATTTGTTTATTTTAATTAGGACAGGTCCTGATCCATTTTAACTCAACTCGACCTAACATAGTCTGATCTTTCATAATCAATCTGATTCATTAGTTTGATTTATCATAATTTGACATCTAATCATAATTTAAATTTATCCAACTTATTCATGTAAATAAGAATTAAATACACTAGAACTATTTTATAAGTCTAGTAATAATAATTTATATCTATGAGATAATAATTAAAATATTTTATTCAAATTAAAGTTCAATAAATTTAATGTCTTGTATAATCAAATCATTTACAAAATTTAATTATTTAAAATAAAAAAAATCAAATTTAATATATTTAAATTTTCTAAAAATTACAAAATACTTTATCCTAAAATACTTAATTAATACACCCATTTAACTCGAACAAAATATTCAATAAATATAATTGTTTACTTTTTTTATATTAAAAATAAACTATATTCTCTAAAACGTTGACGATGACACCCTGATTTGAACATAGAAGTAACTTCAAAACAATGACATCAAATAACATCTAATTAATTAGAATTTATTTATATTTTCGTCCATCCAACGTAACATCTTTTTAAGATTTACGTTCAGAAAAAGTAATTCATGATCATAAATTCATAGTTCTGGTAACGAATCACGATGCATATTTATTCAATCAAGATCTTCATTAAATGCTCCTTACGTGTTACATAACAATGTTGATGGAATCGATTTTTAAAGAAGTTACAGTGTAAATTTTTTTTCTAATTTCATAGGTAGCAACTTCATAGCAGCTATCATAGGCAAACCAGCGTATGATGTGATAGGATTAGCGTAAGCAATAAGAGTGGCCTACAATTTCCTATATACATTGCTTAATGAATACAAAACATCAAATGCCTATATACACAAGATCTTCTGTTAACTACCAATGGAAGAAGTGAATATGCTGACTGTTTCATGTGAAGCTCCTCATGGAACTTGCAACAGAAACGCAGTAAAGAAACCCCGATTCCTCTACTCACCAAAAAGTAGATAATCGCCTCCACTATACTATTTGACTCGGTGTCATGGAAACTTGAAGACTCACAACATTCTGTTTGCTTCATTCAGTGATGCTTTCCCCTGTTCCAAGAGTAAAAAACAGGTTATGTTGTTTGCTGTCCCATCTATGTTTTTTAGCATGTGCAGAGAATCCTCGGTTTTCCAATATTGCCGTAAAGATGGAGCCAAGGATACTTAATTTAATAGTAAATAGAGATAATATATATTATGATGAAATATGGCATTTAAGAAACTAGTGTAACCTTATTCTTGAAATCGACTGGACCCAATCAAGAGGTAAGAGAACAAAAATTTAGCATGAATATGCCAGTAGTTGGGATGAGGAATGTTTGTCTTCAAAGTAATTGCATAACTAGTGGCCTTCAGGAAAAAACTTAATATTTACGTCTAAAAAACATACAATTACATAAAGAAGCAATGGTAGGAAATATCTACTAAAGCATTACATCTCCTATCAACTTACAGTACCTATGAATCATATGGTAAAGGATTCCAATCCTTGAAGTTAGTGATATGATTTGTGATTGACAAAATGTCATATTGAACTTGTAATGTTGACCCTCAAAAAAGCTTTATTTGATTTGAAATCATAACCCCACTTAAAAAGTTATTGCAGCCAATGATGAATGGTAAACTGGTGATTCGATGCAAGTTCAAAAGATTGTACCACTTTTATATCCATCTCAAACAAGGTTTCTGAAGTAACCTAGTCATTTATGAGAGTAAGCAGTTATCTGATCATATATATGAGGCCATAAAAAAGGGAGAAATAAAGAGAGACACCTCAATTTGTGTGCCACTTTCAGAGGGGAACCAGTGCATGAGAACACCCAGATTCATGACAGCAGGTATCAATTTAAACAAAAGTGGAGTTGTAACCTGTATTAATCAATGATAAGTTCAAATAAATCAAAGAAAGGAACGTATGACAGCTAGATGAATGAAATTACCAGACTGAGCGCCGTTGTCCCTAGAAGAAGAAGATACATTTTCCCCTAAAATATTGCAATCAGTGGTCAGCAAGAGAGAAAGATGAAACAGGGAGAAATTACATAAATCACTAAAAACAATCAAGAAAAGGTATCACAAAGATGTAAGTAATTTCTTCAATCACAATGCAAAATTTGTTTGAGGTTATGATCATAGAATAATGAAAATGCGAGGTTTTTTTCAGTGTAGCCAGAACACCCATGATGAATGAAGCTTGAGAGATTTCACTTACATTTCCCGTGCATTCGTAATTTGCCATACACACAAATATTTTTTAATGGGCCAAAACGACCTTTCCATTTCTTTGGAGGGTCTTTGTAGGTACCATCTTTGACCCCTTTTTTCTTCATATAAAGAAATGCTAAAATCATGCTAGTACCATGTTATTGGATGATATAGGTTCTAACAAATGTGGGTTTTGTCGTTATTTAGTAGGACCCAATCCATTTTTAGTGGATTCCACATGAATTTAACCCAATAATGAAGTGTGTTGAAAAGACAATGTCAAGAGTGTGTTACTAGCATTTACATAACAAATAGCATAGGTTACTCCTCTCTCTCCCTCATGGAATTCATTATTTTTAAGAACCAGCAGATTTTATTTCTATTTGCAGCCATTGAGGGAAATACACCAAAGACAAACCCTGTTTATGTTGCTGTTCCTTGCATTACATATCCACTTAGTAAACAGAAAACCACCATTAACTTTTCTACCATTTTTCTGAAGTGGTTGTGTTTCAGGTTTGATGTGTAGATCACGCCAAACCTATATACTCCCCTCCTTACTTCATCCATCAACTACTCATTAATTAATAAGAAAATATCATCTGCAGGTTGGCAAAGTACATAAAAAGGTCTCAGGGTGCATGTTCAATGATACGATACGCCACATGATGAATAATGCATCATAAGTTGCTAAATGCCTCCATTGATCAATCAATAACAAGAAACCATGGGGTTAACTCCACATCTTGACTTGACCCAACGTTAAGACATTATTGATTCCATTTATATGGATCCCACTTCTGTGGTTCTCATTTAGAATGTTCATTTCGAAAGTGGGAGGCTTTCTCACTCGAATTCTAAAACATTCTTAACTACTGTCAAATCAGATTGCTGTATCCATCCTTCTTTATTTGTTTCATAATTAACACTCTAGATCAGATGTACCCTATTATGCATACAAAGTCAATTACTAAAATCTATTTGGTTCATAATTTCTCACAGAAGGTGGCCATACAAAAACTAATGGAAATTACAAAATCTAAGCAGTGGGGAAATCTTTAGTCATTTTCAAACAATACCACAAAGGAGAGAGAGAGAGAGAGAGAGAGAGAGCAAAAACCTCAACAAGGTGAAGATTTGAAGCTCGACTCAGGAGGACAAAAGCAAATTCACCAATTTGAGCAAGTGAGATACCAACCTAAGTTGTAATGGAAACAGCCATTCAGTGTCAACATAAGAAAGTGTGTATAGTTAATCAATATACCATCCAACAAGTTGACTACATTAACTTACAATAAATGCTGTCTTAAGGCTATAACCAAAAGCCTTCGTAACTAAAACAGCAACAGCAGTTTTAACAACTACAACCAGGATAACAGATGCCAGCAGGATGTCCACATGGCTCCAAAGGAAGTGCACATGTATAAGCATTCCAATACTTGAGAGAAAAAGAGCCGCAAATAGGTTACGAATTGGTTCCACCTACAAAAAGCATTTTCTTATAAGAGAACTTTTACTTTAATCTCCCGGTGAATTTCATAATTCAAAAACAGTAAATTATCCCAAATACATCATTGGTATGTACTTTCATAGGAAAAGGAAAATCAAGAGAGAAAAGGGAGGAAGCACAACTAGGAGGTTAAAAGGAATCATTAAAAGTCTATATATAAAGGGGAAAAAAGGAAAGTACAAAAGCAGTATGGATGCCTAATCTGTTTGTGTATCAAAAGATAGTAGCTTCCTTAAAGAAAACATGAGCCGAGTACAAAAGATAATTCAAAAGAGAAACTGAATCCCCAGAAGTGGGAGAAAAGAAACATCCCAAAACATTTTAGAAGGTATGACCGATGTTTCTTCCAAAATTTGCAAGATAGATAATGATAATTAAATAATATCTAATAAATAGCAAGACAAAAGACGCTAAAATAATGAACTAAGTGAAGTGAACCTCAAGCGATCCAAAGATAAATGTGTGTGAAGACTAAAGAGTATGGATAATTATTAAGGACAATAATTCATGTATGCAAAGCAAAATCAGTCTGAGACAAGTCAGAAGTTAACAGTCATGAATACTACCTGATCCAAAGTATGTTGAGCGAAGTCTGTTGTGGAAATCATAACACCAGCCATGAATGAACCCAGCTCAAGACTAAGGCCAAGCTTATCACTGCACTGGAAAGATATTATAAAAATTTAGCAAAATGTACAGCATCATTGCTAATTTTTAACTAACAGGCTGCCTATTTTACTGATGTTACACACAGCTATATTGGGTCAAAATCCCTTTCTAAGAAGGCACCATGGACCCTCACCCCCAATCCTACATGGATAAAAAATGTTCTTCTAAAATAATCAGCCCTCCAAAACTAACATACATGAAATTGCAGTCTAGCAGAGAAATGTTTTAACAGGAGTGCACAACTTATAATGATAAAAGAAGCAACAGAATAAAAGAGAATCAGTAACAGCAATCAGCATTTATTTTTCTTACCCATGCAGATAACAAGCAGAAAGCAACAGCAGCTAGCTGATAAAGTTCATTTGTCTGGACAGCAAAAAAGAAGAACAAATAATTCATGAACTGCTAATACTAGCAAAATGGTAGCAAATTAAATGTGTTTTTGGCCTAACCTGTGACGACAACCTCATCATCAATTTAAGAAATCGAGGAACAAACGACCAAGACAATATAGATGTAGCAGTGATATACAAGGACAACACTAGCAGCCTGAAGTTCAAAGTAGTTAGATAATTAGATCCTATCGCAATGTCAATATGACAAATTTAGGGTAAATTGTACCTCCCCCCAAAAAACCCCTATATTTCAATAAAACTGCATCTTTTTGGTCATTCTCTTCATCAAAAATCGAACTTCATGATATATCATACTTCCCAGCACTCTGTTTCCAGAAGTTTACCCACAGAATAGTGTCACAATTCAACCAGAAATTGTGGTCTCCCACTGGTATGTTTTATCCAGTTTAAAGACAAATCTCAATATATCTTGGTAAGTTCATGTATTTTATGCTCAAAAAATGTTTACAAGCTGTATTTCTAAATTGTCAGATCTTAGAGCTGGTATTAGTTAATTTGGACAAATATTACAGGGAGGTACGTGCATGTTTAAATTCAGGTTCAGGCTATATTCAAGTAGAAAGGTTTATATTTAGCAACACTATGAAGTTCAATTGGCTTGCATTCATTAAGGAAGTTGTTATTGATCATTAAGCAAAAGAGAGTTTATGAATAATACAGTGAAATCAGAGAAAAAAAGTGCAGATGGACAGACTTACAGTTTCCCCATTGACATTATTCCTTGTAAAAGGCCACTGTTACCACCCAAAACTGGTAGCAAAGCAAATAGTAAACCCACTGCACAATCCTGATATAAGTGGTAGAGGAAAGATTGATATGCAATATAAATCAAACTAAAAGGCATATTACCTTATGAAAAGCTAATGAGTTTAACATTTAAAACATGCACTAGAAAGATATTAGATACCTGAAAAATAAGAGTCCCAATTGTAATCTGAACATGAAGAGCATTATTACTATTTCGCTCCACCAAAAACTTCACCACCTGGTAAAAGGTAAAAAAAATTAATTAATGAACCATGCTTAGAATCTACAAAAACCACTGATAATATTTACAGTAAGTTTTTGGAAATGGTGTAAAAACATACTACTGCAGTTGATGACATTGACAGAAAAGAACCGACAAACACACCCTCAGACAATGAGGCTCCAAATAACTGCAAACCAAAAGGACAATAATATTTATTAATAAAACAATTGTAACTGCTCAATATTGAAGAACAAATTAGACAAGTCAGCACCATACCATGGAAAGAATGCCACACATGAACATAAAAATAACAATTTGAAGTAGCCCTCCAAGAACAGCAACAGGCCCTACAGCTTTTAACTTCATGCATACAAATTTTAAAATTAGAAAATGAAAACAGAAAAGTTTTAGTAATATCAAAAGCCTTACATGAGGATAATATATATATATATATATATGTGTGTGTGTGTGTGTATATTGCAACCTTTGAAATATGGATTGAGATATAACTAGAATAGAGCTTATATCAAGAAAATAGGTGAAAAAGTGAGAAAGAAGTTCTTGCAAGACAAGAATAACAAACCTTTGCCAGGGAAAACTCCAGTCCCAAAGCAAAGAGAAGAAACACCACACCAAATTGTGCAACAGTCTCAACCTGCATATAAGTGACAAGGAGAATAAGGATATTCAGTGCAAAATGACAGAGCAAAAACATAAAAACAATCACAGCTTAAATTGATGCTTAACGTTAAAAATCCCAATGGAAATATAACCTTTCAGTTTGGATTTGAATGAAACTCAATCTCATAAAACCTGCATGTATGATAAGAGTTGCTCCCCCCCCCCCCCCAAAAAAAATTTATTTACACCACTTGGCGATATTTCTAGTAAATGTGGGACTGGGGTTTTTTCCATTAAAAGTGATAGTGAGTCACTTAGAATAACATACCTGCACCATTTCACTAATAAATTTCAAACCGCCTGGTCCAATAAGGGAGCCTGCAAGAAGATAGCCTACAATGACCTACATTTAAAAAAAACAAAAATACATGAAATCCAACATTCTATGGAGATCTCCACTTAAATAAATCACTTAATATCACTAAAATATAAATTGAATATTAAAATCATGTACTGCACAAAGGACATCAAATGCCTGCCACAACGAGAAAAAGTAACAATCACATACCGGTTGTCCCAAACAGGAAAAAGCAATCCCACCAATGGCTGCAGAAACTATTACAACCACCAAATCTGATATTAGCCTGCATGAACGTGCAGAGCAGTTATTCAAAGGATGATCAAATCTGATGGTAGAAAATAAATAGAACAAACTGAAGAAACTCACAAATTTCAAGAACTACAAAACACAAAGGCATCACCATCTAATATTATAAAAAATTCATAATTATAATCTTGAAGAAAAGGAAATGATACTCATTGGATCGCAAGCTATCATTCACTCTAAAAGCCATTAATACCTGGCCTCTGTATTTTGAGAACAAAAACAGTTTTAATCTGAAAGTATTTTGGTAAAACAGCCAAGAGCAAAAATTGAAAAATCTCTACCCCATTTATTTTTTCACATTAAGAAAGAAAAGCACAAAAGAGGTAACACAGGATGATTCATTAGTCATTTTCACAATTATACCTATGAACATAATTTGATTCTAAACACTGATACATCATTAAAATAACACATTCCATTATCTAGAAATACAGATTCATGAACACAACAGACATCAGCCCAGACACATAACATTTAGTCCAGACTTCAAGCAACTTCTTAACAACATAAGTATCCTTTAATTAGTCAACCAAAATGATACAGAATTCTCTGAGTAGTAATTATGAGGATAAAAAGTCATATTAGATGTCAACCTCAAATCCACTTGAAGCACAGGATATTTGGATTTCTTGTTTGACATCACGAAGACATTGTCCTGCCATGCAATAGCATAAACAAGTAAGCAGGTTGAAATATGAATAAGAGTAGTTTAACGTCACATTGAATAACAGCCCAGAGGCATCAGATCTTTTAGCACACCTTTTTATCAATCAAAGTTGTCACATCATCGGAATCTTCATTTTCCAGAGAGAACACATCTTGAAACTGAAATGCTCTTGTTCCGCTGAGGGAAAATTCATTTAAATAAAATCATTGTATATACAAATGAAGTTACATGACTACATCTAATAATTCATTATAAGATGCAACTGAGAAACTACATTGGGCAATATATGACCATACTTTCCCTCATGTGTATCATTTCTCTTTGCTTTCTCATGAGTAATTTTAGCTACAGTCTCCAATACAGCCTGCAAAAGAAGACAAGATGCTCAAAAGCCATCTTTACATTAAAAAGAAGAGTGGGAATAATCTTTTTAGACTATCTTAGTGGGTGGAATCAGCTATTCATATAATCGAGGAAGTAATCTTAGGATTTGTTTCATATTTTAGTAGTCTTATCACATGTTTTTTTTAGTGCATTCGGACTTATACTAGTAATATCTATTACTAGTTTTGGACCTCATTATTAGTTTAAAAGGACCATAGTATTTGAATAACATCATTATGCACCACAGATAATATATTCTTATTATTATTGGAATTGTTTTTCGTCAGCCAAGTCGAGCTAAGAATTAGTAATTGTTAGCACCATATGAAAATGGCCAACAACTACATCAAGACAAAAATAGCTCAAACATCAACATCGGAGTTATAATATGCATACATGACTAGAGGAAGATAAAATAAATGTAAGGCTTATATTTAATATTATAGTATTAAAATCCAAACGTGAAAATCTTTCCTTGGAAATGATGGAGACTCTAAACTGATAGGTAAAGATTTCAGGGGGGGGAATAGATACCAGATATAGACTCATGTCATGTCACTTCTCATGCAATATTTGAAATTGAATTCGATGTATATTTAGTCCACGTATCATTTTATACACACAATGAAACTTCAGCTTGTTTTCAGCTGAATAATCCAATTCAACGCAACTATCTATTGAAACCCAGAGTATCGAACCTACCTGCTGATCAGCGACACTGCTATTGAAGCTGCTTTTGTCAGATCCTGTTAAAGATGGAAAAGAACAGTGAGCATAGCAGACAACCTACTAAAAACAACTCAATGAGCTTCTGATCCTCATTTTGATTTGTGACAGCTGAATCTAGTATTTCATTTCACAAGCAAACTCTGAACAAGTAATAATAAAAGAACAAAAGTGTAACATTTAGACTATAAATAATAACAGACCATCGATTATGACATCCATAAAACCACAAAAAGATTGTTAAATTGTGTCAGAGCAGCAATTCTTATTTAGAGTAAAAGCTTATAAGAATAAAGCAGACCTTATCAAAGTCATACCAGTAATAATACACCCATGAAAGATAATTGAAGAATCCTTTTTTTTCTTCAAACAAGCTTTTAGCTACAGACTAAACATGAGGTACTGAGGGGGAAAATGAGATTTTTGTGCATCTCTAAACAAGTACAGTTCAGCTCTCACATCATGATTGACTGCTAATTTCCCAAACTTGGGACAATACTGTTCTCCTTCAAACCTTGTTAATTTGATCCAGAATATCTATATGATATTAGTACTTATCGTGCAACAAAGATAATTATAACACACCGCCACTCCGCCATCGTTGTGTAGCAAAGAACAAGAGGGAAAGAAAACTAGTTGAATTGCAGTTTCACTTTACCCCTTCTAGTTATAATCTCATGGTGAAAAGAATGAAAACCCCTAGCCCAGGAATGCCAGCGAGGTGAAGTGAGATCCAAAAGGAGGTGAATTGTCTGATTAAACCTCTCCCCCCACATACCAATCTCCACTGCACTTGCTCATTCACCTCTTCCGCTAAAAGTTCCAAGACTAGAACCCCTTCAACCATAAAATCACTTGCTTCACATTTTCTTCTATCCAACCATACCCTCCACACCCAAAACTTCAAATGCATAATTTTCTATAACATATCCATTTCAACATGGCAACCGGCTCACTACTTAACAACTATCTAGCTAGCCATCTAGACCATCCGGGCAGGCCGAACTGAGCAAAACACCCAAGTACACTAGTCAATCCCAAATTGCATACCGACCTACCATAGTCAACCAGACAAGATAACATGCCTCAGTTTAACCATTATCAGCAGACTACCCCAGAAGCCCGTGGAAGCCCCATGCCCACCAGAATAAAGAAGGCCTAGAATCTTCTCATTTATGGTTAAAGCACGAAAGACACTACCTTCCCCTGACAAGTGGGAAAGGCACCATCCATACCACCTCCTGAAAAAGCCGGTAACCGTGTGCAGGGGAGGCGTGATCCTCCCTCCATCACACTAGGTCAAGCAATACAGAACTTGCTGGGCTTTTTAGCGAGTTTATTTACGCAATCTCACTTGAAACAAAGAATCTCTCTTTTATTATCCCTCAAGTCCGTCTCCTAGGTAAAGGGCTTCGTTTTCTTCCAAGCTATAATAAGACTACATATACACAATGGACCAAAACAAACACTACAAGCTCGTAATTGGCTTTAAGACTCTACAGTTAGTAGCATGTTCTGTTCTGTAACACCAAAACCAAACAAACAAATTAAAAAGCAGAACTTTAAACTACAACACAAAATTACATTTTTTTCAGAAAATGGGAAAACAAAACCTTCTGGTTGGTCATTCTCGGAAAACTCCTTCTCGAGAACGCGATCGAACATCTTGGCCAATGTGTTGTTGGATTCCGGCGACGTCAAATTGACTATGTTTCCGTAGAACCTTTCGCGCGTTTCCTGGTCGGATCTAGCCGCGCCGCAAACCCTAGCGCAGATCGCGAGGCACACAACGCAGCACCAGAGCCCAACCGCCCGCCGCTTCTTGGGGCCGAGAGTCGCCGTCGTCATCGTCGTTACGGTAGGTGGCGAAATAACTGCGCGTTTCGGGTCGGAAAATTGGGTTCCGCGCAGAAATGGGAAAAGAGACGGAAATGGAAAGGACGCGAATGAATGCAGCAAGGAAAAACGATTTTCTCTGTTTTCAGATGAAGCTTGCTACACTTCTGTTAGTTGCATTTGCATTATCAATGGTCTTATTATACCATTGTGATGAATGCGTCAATGAAACTTCCTTCATTTGTCACTTTCTTGAGGGGTTTTCTGTAATTTCATCTTTTTGTGTCTTTTTATCACAATTAGTTTCTTCATATTTTAGTATAAACTAAAATATTTTTACACGATTAGAAATGTTTTACATATAATGTCCGAATACTGTCTTACCATATATATGTTAAGACATAATTGAACAAAATATTAAAAAAATAAATTTAACATTACTAATGTGTTTATTATGATTATTATTATGGTTGCTTGCTTTTTTTTTTTTTTTTTTCTTTTCCCTTAACTTTTTCATTTCCAAGTTTAGTTAGTTGGAAGGAATAAAAGTTTACGTTTTGTGTTTCAAAATTTGGGGTGGTAGTTGGGTCACTTTCTTCATCACTTTTTGGACATTTTTCATTGAAATTTGGTGGTATAACTAATGTGGTGCCCTTTTGCTTTAGGAAGAAAACTCTGATTTACGCTTTATATTCTTATGAATATGCTTGGAATTTGATATCATATATATAAAAAATTAATCAACATATATCTAAAATAAATTTTATTCATGAACATGATAAAAAAAATAAAAAATAAAATATAAGTTATTGACTAGTATTACATTAGTCATAACAAAAGAAGAAATATTTCGTACCTATAACAGAAAAATAAATAATTCAAAATTTAATTCTGAATGCATCTTTCTTATTGAATTCTAATAGTTTTCATATGAAGACGTTGAAACCTAATGACAAGAAATTGAGCTTCAAAAAGCAATATTGCATTGCATGTTGAGCCGTTGTGGTGTTATTTTTGTTGACAGCAACGTGTTGCATTGCATTGAATACTTGACGGTGATAATTATTGCATAAGATATCACAATTTATGACCAACGCAATGGTATGATCACAACATTCAATTCTTATCTTCTTGATTAATTACCAGTTTTACAGTTTGGTAATTTTACACTGTCACGTGGTAGTTGAGTGGTCGCATGTTCATGGTTTTTTCACCAAAAAAAAAAAAAAGTAGAACAACGACATGTGTATTTGTGTCCATTCAAAGTGCTTACGTACACTGGAGTGTGGCATCCACAAGTTCAGTAACACGTGTCGCTAGATTCAATCCCCTTCTTCTCTTATCTCATCCACTAGGTTACATTTGATGGTAGTTGTGAAGCCAAGGAGAAGATAATAAACTCGTAAACACCGAAAGATAGATATAGAGAGAGGCCCTTTTGAATGGAGTCTGTTCTAAGCCACGTTGGTGCAGGTTTCTGCAATGTCATTAGCCCAAGAGGGGTTGTTAGTACCCATTTCAAAGCTTGTTCCTTTGGTGGTGTTGGTGATGGGAGACCAAGGCGTGCAGTATTGGTGAAAGCTGAGGCTGTGAGCATAAACCCTGATATCAGGAAGAGTGAAGCGAAGGTGGTGGATTCTGTGGTGGTCACTGAACTCTCTCAGCCCCTCACTGCTTATTGCAGGTAAGGTTCACTTTGTGAAGCTCTTACTTTCTGGTTATTTCTATCATTATTGCACAATTTTCTATGCCATTTTTGTTTAAGCAGAATGGAATAGGAAAGAAATAGATAGGGTACATTTCTTTTGTTTGAGGAAAAGATAGATAGAAGAAGAGAGGAAAGTTGACTTTAGACAATAGAATTTCAAAACTTGTCTTCTCACCCCCTTTCCCCCATACTTTCTCTCCATTCCTACAAGCTGAGGATAAACATATGGTAACTTAATTTTTATTTGAAAAAGTAAATCAGGAGAAAATGTGTGTACATATGTCATTATTATTATGATGATGAAAGCAGTGTGATGCAGGATGACTGGAATTCTTTTCTAATTTCTATGATTTGTTGCTTCAAAAGTGTATTCGATCATGGGAAATGGGGATGATTCCACTTTAATTCGTTTCGACCAGAACTCAATATGTAACATACAAATAGTATTCTCATTGTTATCATGATGTTCTGTTGAACATTACCTTGTGATTTTATACCAGAACAGATATCGATCATACCTTGATGTGAAATGTGTGTTCCTTTCACTGAAGCATGAAAAAAAAAAAAAAACAGAATCATTCACTTAATATTCATGTAGCTTCTTTTAAGCAATAATTTAAAGCTTCACAACACTGAGTTCAACTATAAATTACAAGAAGAATGATATGGATTCTCCAACTGTTCAACAAACCATTTTTTTTTTCAAGATATGACGTTAAGGCAATAAAGCATATCCAAGCATTTTTGTATTTGCTATACTCAAGTCCTCATCTGTCACTAAATAAATTTTTTTTTCTAGAAATCTGGTGTGTTATCTTTGGTAAGAAAAGGTGTGGTTTGATAAAATAGTAGCACAACCGATTATATATTTTCAATATCTTTAGTATTGATTAGTTAGATTCCAATGTTCACTGCTATTACATTTAATATTAACTCCCTCGGGAGAGAAACTTTATAACCGTCACTCTATATTAATGGCACTCTTGTTGAATCTAAAAGGACGAGAATATCATAAAATGGGCAATATTTGAGAACGCTGCTCAAGGAAGGGTTGTTTTGCTAAACTTGTGGTTTCATTTTGTGAAATTTGATCTACCAAATTATAAAATGTCAAAGTCTTATTACCAAACATTCTTACATTTAGGAGAAAGATCGTATTCAAAAACTCATGTATATAGAAACAAGGTCCGTAGTGGAGCTTTGTTAGTTTTAATACTTTCAAGTCACATTTTCAAGGTAAACTTGTGTTAAGTCCGTGCTTGATGTTGTTTGAACTTGGAAGTTACATGCATCGTGTTTACATTCAAAAAGATCTTCATCTTACTGAGTGCTTTGATGCAGATGCTGGAGATCAGGGACTTTTCCTTTATGTGATGGAAGCCATGTGAAGCACAACAAAGCTACTGGAGATAATGTTGGGCCCCTTCTTTTGAAAAAGTAAAAATTATGATGATCATGGATTGTTTATATGGATCAGACTTGGCATTTCAATGTTAGAAATAAAAGGTGGCTTATGCTGTGAATGTGATTCGTTTTACAGTATATTTTGACCTATATCTGTGTAATAATAATTTGTTGAGGTCAGCTGCGAGTGTCAGTGTTTCTTTTTTTATCTTCAGCTGAGACTGTCAGTGTACAAGTGTACAACCATGTGAAAGTAATTTCAGGAGGTCGGCTATACGTTTTTTCTCTGGGAGGACTGATATTTTGTATTGATGGATGGACACCTTCATACCTGTACAACCCTTATTACTTTTAAGTTAAATGATCAAAGTTTGTTTAATAATAAGATAATGATTCTTTGACAATCCATAAACTCAAAATGACATTGGGTTGTGTTGTTTGACTAGTTAAAGAATATTTTTGTTTAATAATATATGAAATTATAAAACTATTTTTGTGAACAATCAAGTATAATATATGAAGGATGTAGAATACGAACATAGTCCGTTCGTCGGCACCCTATGGTATTTATACAAAATATATCCTGTAAAGGTTCTCTTTGAGACGAAATTGAAGAAAAAAGGAAGGAAAAATAAGTGGGTAAAAAAGCTATCTCGCTTTTTGTATTCATTCAATTTATTTACGCAAAAAGAAAAACTGAAATGGGTGGTTTACAGTCAAACAAGATCAAGTATGAGACCCATTCAGTTGAGGCTAGTCATTCAGTACATAGTGTTACAGAAAATTCTGGTTATTGAATCATCAAAATTATACAAACTGTAACCAAGAGGAAGCTGACGGATAGTCTACAGGTAACGACTAGAATCATAATGTGCTCAACAAAAATATCATCATGTGCCCAAACAGCACCTAAATTACGTCTTCATCCAAGTAAAATAATATGCTTTAACCACATCAAGAACAAACACCTAAATACGTCGTTTTTTTGGTAGTCTGCAGCCATTATGGGGTTTTCTGGTGGTATCTTCAATGTATACAATTGGATTTTTACCCCCTCTAGAATCGGCAGTAAAGCCCTCCCTCCAGCTCATTATCGCTTGCCTTTTTCTCCTGAAATGAGTAAATCCATTCACTTTCATGACAACAGATTTCAATCCCAAACCCCTAGACCTCCTGCCAACAACTTCCGCTGTGGCCTCGGCAGCGTACCTAGAAAGCTTCTGCCCTGATTTCAGGTCTTTCAATGAACCAGCAGAGCCACTGAGTTTTATATTTCCTTTAGAATCTGTTACAGTCACGAAGGTATTATTACGTAACATCTTTATATGAACGAAGTCAGCCTGCTCAGTTTGATACTGAAAAGAAGAACCCCTCACAAAATTATCTTTATCCATAATTCCTCTTACAAAGTCCATAGGCCTAGAATTCAAGCCAGTCTCAGCATCATTCTTGCCACCCAAGTTATCTAGCATAAAATCTGGAGATGCGTCTGCATTTGCTTTCCCATTCTGGACCAGATTATTCCACCTTCTGGGGTTTATGTTCTCTCTGTTCTGCGTAAAATTTGGATGAGCATTCGCATCTGCACTCCCATTCTGGCTCGTTTGAATCCTCCTCCAATCAAAATTCGATATTGAAAATCCTCTAACAAGTCCTGCAGTTTCAAAAGAAGATCCCTTGTAACAAGGTTGGACTGTTGGGGGACGAGCTGAAAAAAAAAAAATAAACCTCTACATGCAAAATTAAATGATAGTTATTTTAACCATTTAGGAATCAGAATTATAAGCCCCAAACGCTACATCTCAAGAACATCCAAATAAACAAAGTAACCACTCACTACTGCACCAATATTTCTAACCAAATAAAAGGAAATCAGTTCTAAATTTAACTATAAGATAAAACCCCTCAAATGCAGGCATCTAAAAATCATCATGATGTGGAAAAGGTAGACTATCTGAAGTTATCACCATCCACGCTAATACCTTGAAGACCTCCATCGAAATCTCACAACGGAAGCCTAGAATTTCACTCCTTCATATAAGAACAATACAAATGAGTCCATCTGATTTATCCGCATCTCTCTTTATAACATTCAAAAACACTCCTCCAGTAATAACAAGAATGAGATTCCACAAACAGCTATGGAAAAAGATCAGTCCAAGTTCAACACAAGGTTTTAAATTACAGTGATTGTTGCATTTTCAGCAGGATCCTTGGTTTTGCCAGTGGTTACAGAAAAATGTGGCCGTAAATATGGTTGCAAAGACTCAAAACACACAAGGTTGCCAAAATCACAGGCCCGGACAGCTTTTTAAAAAACTTTGTCCAGCATATTACAGGAAGCAACAAGCAAAACACTCATGCACGAATCCAACATCGTATCCCATTCTATTATTACATGTTTCAAAGGATTACACGCTAAACACACAATTGAATCCTAAAAATGATAAAATTCTCAGCATAGTTAAAAACTCCACTACAGTGAACTCCATAACAAATTAACAACTTCATGCACCAATTCACATAAACCAAACAAAACAAGTCAGGCCCGAAAATTGAGCATTCACCTTGCCACAATCCTTTTTTCTCCGCTTTGAAAACAAACATCGTCTCTAACCTCTACATCCACACAATGGAACGACGCCGTCAAAAGTACAAACATAACAATCCCTCCGATTTTCAATTTCCTTAGTTTCGAGTACCGAAACAAAAGACGAGTCGATTCGTTTCTATATTTAAAAAACGACGAAAGTGAAAGCAGAGAGATTCGAAGAGTACCGTCGTTTTGAGGTAAGCAGCGAGGTCGCATAGCAGCGTCGAATGGAAGCGCGGGTTTCGGAGCGAGGAGAGATATGAGGGAAGATCCACGACCATGACGAATGGGAGAGAAAAACCGAAACATCGTTTTTTTTTTTTTTTTCGTACTGTTAGGGTTTGAGTTTGAAGAATCTCTGTTTGGTTTCTTCCCTTAGTAGAAAACACTCGGTACTCAAGCGAGTGAGTGAGTTTTTTTATTTCTTCTTCAGTTCAATGACATTGGGCTTCTATAAATGGGCTTAACTTTGGGCTTTAGTAGAAAAAACCCAATTTAAGGATTAAAAGAGTATATAAATTGTATTAAAATACATAAAGTTGGATTAGAAAGAGTACATAATATAACTGAGTTAGTTAATTTTTAAACAACTCATTCTAACTGATTTAACTAAATATAACTAACACACTGGTCTCTCTTATCTCACAGAGTAAAATTATTAGACATTTTTGGGACAATTTTTTTTTTTTACATACTGATTCCAAATAAATTTGTCTAAATTGTATACATATATCTATATAAAATGAAATTTTTTACTATTTTACATACTATGATCTATGATAGTAATTTGTTAATTTATGAATGCAATAAAGAACGTTATATAAAGTCATAAGCAAGTTATTTTCCAAAGAGAAACATTGAAAAGATTCGGGATTAAGTGTTCCAAAAAAGAAAATGATGAAGCTTGTTCTTGTCTTGTTCTTTCTTGCTTCGGGACTGAGACTTTCGGTCTCAGAGTTCCAATGTGATTCTCTGGAATGTCACGATTACAGAAACTTGTCTTATGGTTGTACTGAGGTACTATTGTATATCCAATCTTAGTGTTGACATAACCATTTTTCTTTTTCTTTCTTTTTATTCTCTATTTTCTTTGTAAGGTCAATTCTTTATTTGATTTTTTGTGTCCAATAGACGAAGGCCATGATAAACTGTTCCTACTGGCTTGTTCTATATTCAAATTCATTGACCAATTTCGCAGAGGAGCACCTGGTTTTTCCTTTTTCCTTCAAATCAATGTCAAGCTTTCATTTTTTTTTCTTTCTTGGTGCATGCATGTTTAAGGTGTTCGAGTGTTTTCTTCAAGAAATGCTTATCAATAATAACTATTATGAACTGACTTGAGTTCCAGAATCATGGATTTTTTCAAGATTCAATTATTACATTGTTTTTTATGATCAATGATACTTTCTTTATTAACAGATAGATAATTTTGAAATCTCTTCTTACAGCTAAAAAGTTCATCATGACTGTTTTCTTACAATGGGGTAGAAAACCTTGGTGAAGCAATTATTTTTCTATATTTACTAATCCAATGGTATGGAGTGATAATTAACTAACCAGAGAAACTTGTTTTTTGTTTCAATGTTATTATTTATCAGGTATATGTTCTGAGAATTTGGAAGAGTAGATTTGATCAGTGTCCTGTGGATGGGTTTGAGATACCTGGTGCATGCCCTTATACCATTTGTTATATTGCCCTACTTAGGTATGGTGCACCGGATGAATGGAAGCCTAAGGAAGTGAAAATCTATGACATGGACTTCAAATCACATAACTCCTATGGTTCCACTTTCTCCGGCCAATCTTTAAGGTGGTCTGGTCTTTATATCTGCCACTGTTTTTTTATCAATTATCCTAAGAACACTAAAGCTTTCTGAATCATGGTTAAGAAATCCACTGTGTTGCTCCAACTTTTTGGTCAGCTAATGGGTTAGAAATTGCTCATTCAGCTCTAATAATAATAAATGCCATTTTCCCCTCTCTCTATCTCTTGTTCCTTTAACTTGTGCTTCCATTTAATGTTCCTTTTCCTTATAAATTTGGGAAAAGTTGGATGTTTATAGAGATAAAAAGAAGATGACTGCATAATGTTCGTATGAACGTGTCAAACTGAGAGAGAACAAGTTGTTCTAAATTCAAACTGTAGAAAAATGTGAATGAAAATTGTTTAAATGGATCCCAACAAAAATGTTATTGCAACCACAACCAAAGTTAAGTAACTTGTTTATAACAATTAATAGAAGTGATTTATTTTATTTTATTATATATATAAAGAGTTCAATTAATAAATGAAAGAGAGATTTTTAAATTTAATGAAATAAAAATTATATTTAAAATAAAAGTATTTTTCTAACATATCACTTTCCCATTCCATTTACATACGTACGTTCATTTTAATTATTAGCCACAGACAATTTATTCACCGATCCATGTTTATTAATAATTAATAATGTAAACTAAAATTAATATAAGATTTGAGGTTTAATTAGATTTGCATTCCTAAAAAGGATTTTAATCTCTAACAGTAGATTTGGAGAGTAAAATAAGTTTTTTATAATTATTTTAATCCTTTAAATTTAGTGATTAAGGATTAAAATATTTTTTTAGTTTAAAAGGTAAAAAATATCATGATATTAAATCATAATTAAATCAACATTTAACTTTTAATGTCAATAAAATAAAATAGTATAATCAAAATGAATCAATTCATACCATCTTTACAATAAGATGTCAATCGGATTCAAAAGCAAAAGTAAAGTAACTAGAAAGAATGAAAAAGAAATTGCTATTTTTTTCGTAAGCATGACACAATCAAACAAAAAAGAATATCAGTGTGGAAAGTAAATGTTTTAAAATGGGATTGAGGGAGTGAAAGTTCAATATTTGATTATTTATTTATTATTTTGTTATTTCGTATATTAAGATTATGATTTTTATATAATTTAGAGCGATAATACAAATATAATTATTATATTGACAATTTTTTCTTAGTTCTTGATTAACATAGGTAAAATGCACGATGGTAAAATTATAATATTTAAAAAAAAAATACTATATTATTCAGAACAATATTTTAGGGTATCTATATTCACTGGTATACACTTGACATTTTACATATCTTAGATTTTGTGATCACCGCATTAAGTTTCAATGTAAATCTAGGAAATACTGTCAAAAAATAACTCATAAATGTAATTTTATGTCGAATATTTTATAAGTTCAACCTAAATTGATGTATAAAGGTTTGATTTTTTATAACAGTATCATAATTGACATAAATTTATTTTTTTAAAATTCATTTTATTTTTTTTACAACCAAAACTAGACAAAAAAAAAATAGATAATAGACCATCCAAAATACACTTCAAAGTATCAAGATTATACAACTATCTAAAAGTTAAAAATAATACAAGACTAATTAAACTTAGAAAACTAAGTACGGTATATTTTCAATAAAAAACTTTATTCATCATTCTCTTCTTTATGTCATATAATTTTCGAATAACAGAGATTAATATTAAAATACTTAAAACATTAATTTAACGAAATATTTATAAAAATAAAAATTAAAAAAAATGTTAAAATACATTACCTTCACTCAAGAATGAGTAATATTTTCAAAAATTTATAATTATGATGATGTAATAATCACATTTAAATAAATATGTTTGTTTATAACACTAAAATAAAAAATAAATCAGAAGATTAAGATTATTTTGAAATTTTATAAATACATACACTATCTCTATTAAATAAAGTTCTAACATTAGCGTAAATGAATTGTAATTTTTTATTTTATTTTGTCTCTTCCACTTGAAATATTATTTCGTGACATTATTCTAATTAAAATAAAGATAAATATTAGTTTATGTTTATTTACACTTTTTAAACTTAATAAAAAACAATAAAGTTACTATTATAATAAAATTTTCATGTCTTGATTGGAATTTTAATGGAGGGAATAAACGATTTAATCCTTAAGAATGATTATAATTAATTATCAATGGACTTATATTATATGACAAACCAATTATTTATTAAATTAATATAATTAAAAGAATAAATTAAAAAATTAACCAAAGGCAACATATATATATATGTATTAATTACTCATTCTTGTGTGTTGTCATTGTTGTAACTCAAAATATATTTTTTTACCTGTGCAAAGAAGATAAATCCTTAGAAGAGATATAAATCATAAAAAAAAATCATTTTATTAAAAAATATCACTTTACTACATTTTATTTTATGTCGAATAATTATTAATTAAACAAGAAAAAAATTGATGGAAAAAACTTATAATCCAATTCTATAGGTTAAATCTCTTCTACTACAGTGCATATTGCTTTTATATATATACTTGATTATCGTAGTAGATCTACCATAAATTATAAAGGAAAAAGTATTAAACATTATTGGGATAGGTTCCTTTTTTTACATACTGATTCACCGTAAATTGTTTGAAATTTTTATATCTATATCCATTTAGAATGAAATTTTTTACTATTTTTTACATCCTCTTCTATGGTAGTAAAATTTTTTTTAACACGATAAAGAACATTATACAATATTCAATAGGGTTTACAGCTATGCGCGGTACATGCTTATATAATGAAGTCACAAGCTAATTGTTTTCCAAAGCACAAAGAGAAGCATTGAAATTTTTCTGAAAAAGAAAATGATAAAGCTTGTTCTTTTCTTGTTCCTTCTTGGCTTTGGATTGAGACTTTCAGTATCACAGTTCCAATGTGATTCTCTGGAATCTCATGGAAACTTGTCTTATGGCTATATCGAGGTACCATTGTATATCCAATCTTAGTTTTGAAATAACCCTTTTTCTTCTTCTTTCTTTTACTCTCTTGTTTTCCTTGAAAGCTCAATTCTTTATTTGAATTTTTGTGTCCAACAGACGAACGCCACGTCGAACTGTTCCTTCTGGGTTATTATAAATGCAAATTCATCCACCAATTTCACAGGGGAGAATCTCAGTATTGAGTTCCGGGATAATAATGGCAGCAGGGTAGCAGGGTTTTTTTTTTTTCTCCTTCAAATCAATTCGAGATTTCTTTCTTTATTTCTTGAGGCCCATGTATGTTCAACGGGATCAAGATGCAATCTTGAACCGAATGTGGATAAATATAATCTTAACAGAAGAATCATAATCAAACCCTTGATTGAAGGACTAACTACGGAAGCTTAGTTAGAAGACTGTGGAAGTCTTCTAACTTAGTATTTATTATAGACAAACCAGTACCTATGCAACTCGTTTTGTTTTTCTGGCTTTAAGATTTCACTATTTGAGAAAATTAGTTTTTAAACTATATCTATCTTTTAAGTCAAATTCTATTTTTTTTTTAAATTGTTTTGCAGAGGATCAATTTTTTGTTTTAAATACTCTTCAAATTAAATACAATCTAATAATCTTTTTCTCTGTTTTCTTTGTTTTACAATATATATATTAGTTATAACATGTAACAAATTTTAAAGATTCCTTCGTTTGGTTGGCCTTTGAAACTATGTATAATGTATGTGTACACTGAATCCATACACAATTTGCAATCTTTTTCTCAGTGGTCTTCGCAAACCCTAACACTAGAAAACAAAAATTATATTATTGTATTATTATGCCACTTTTTGTATTAAGTTCTATTTCTATTTCTTACATTAAATTAATAATTATAAATACATATTATTATGTTAATTGCACTTTTTTTTTGCCCATAGACCCCAATTTACTTGACTGAAATGAAGTTTTAAGCACACTAAAAAATTTAAATTACTATTATAATTTTCTTTGTAATTTACAAAACTTTTTATGTTTTCATTTTTTTTTTAACTTAAAACTTATTTTTTCTCTTTTAAACACTTCTCTTTACAACAGATTTTTGTTTGTCGTGAGGCTTAATTTGGGTTAAAAGCACTGGATAAGAGTTGAGCTTTAAGCGAGTTCATCAACAAACATATATTACCTGTTGAAAGAAAAACGAAATGAAACTTACATGACAAAATTTTTTGGGAATTGGTAAATAAAGACTGGACTCTCACCATTAGAGATTAACATAATATCATAGGATGTGACTCTGAGGGATAGAAATACAATGGTATAGTCTAAATATTTACCACACATCTTCCCCTCTTACTTCATAAAAGTACTTCCTCCTCTCAAAAGCATATGTAAAGATGTTTCAGTTATTTCTCCTCTTGTGCACGTCCAGCTCCACGTGGCATCTTCTTCGAATACGCTGCCATAAAATTTCATTCAACAACTCAGTATGTTATATGCTAATTGAGAAAATTTATCTTCCATAGCTCACTTTACACGTTCATTACAATTACCCTTTTTTTCACTCATTGGATTAAATTTGAATTTACTGACTTAAATTTCCAATGAATTAACTTATGGTAAAACAATAATTCTTACCAACAACAGTCTAATTATAGAAGGGATTTGTAAAAACTATTTAATTAACTATTCATTAAATTACAAAAATATGCTAAATAAAGAATAACATTATATCCTCAATATCTTAGAAACATAAAAATTTAATATTTTCTTTCATTTAGCAAGTAGGAGGGCTGGTTAAGATATTGTCCGAGGAAACGCTCACAGTGAGATACTAATGACAGGAACCTTGCTTGCATGCAATCTACAACATGATCCTTTATGATTTTTATCATAAACAAAACTTGATTAAAAGGTAATTATCAGTAAAAAGATCTGTAAATCAAATCATGTTAAAGCTCAAAGGTAAATGTTGTTGACTTCTTGCAAAAATATAATAGCAATATGAGAGAGAGAGCATACAGTCCTCAACGTCTTTAAGCTGGTAATAGTGGGGGGCTATCTCCACCAGCCACTCTGGCTTTAACTCTGTCA